CTACCTAAATTCTCCTTCCAGCTGTTCTGATATTCACTGAGACTACATCCTCTCTGAGCAATTTATTACTGCCTTGCCATGTTTAATTAGTTATTGAATAACTGATTTTCTCGTATTTTAGTGGGACCCTTAACATATTTCACATTACACTGAGATTTATTCTGAGGTAAGAACTTTTCTATTAGCATGCCATCCCAAAATTTCTTTGCTTCTAGTCCCATTCTCCCCAATCCCCAAATGTCTTTTTAGTTCTAGTATCCAAACTCCTTAGCAAGATATTTTCCCTTTTTCTGTTCTGTTTTTTCCTAATATTTAAATTTTGTAATTTCCCTTTCTAATATCAAATATCTATATAATGGGATTTTTTGGTTTCACACTAACATCATGAGGAAATAGCTTTGGGATACGATTTATGTAAGTTCACATTCCTATTTCAAAACCTACCAGATGTATGATATTGAACATATTATTTAAACTTTCTTTGCTTTCATTTCTCACCCATTAATTGGGTTGATCAATAGCTACCATACCTGATTGTTGTGAGGATTAAATGAAAAACTAAATGTGAAATTGTTTACACATTTCCAGCTCATAGTAGGTGCTCTCTTCAAAAAATGTTGAATTTGATTGTCATATTGTTATGGACTGCATTGTGTCCCTCACCGCTCCAATACTTCAGGATGTGACTTTATTTGGAGATAGGGCTTTTAAGAGGTAATTAAGTTAAAATGAGGCCATTAGGATTGGCCTTAATTCAATATGACTGATGTCTTTATAAGAAGAGGAAATTTGGACACACAAAGATACCAGGAATGTGCAGAGAGGAAAGACCATATAAGAACACAGTAAGAAAGACGTCATATGCAAGCCAAAGAGAGAGCCCTCAGAATAAGCTAAACCTGCTGACACTTTGATCTTGGACTTCTAGTCTTCTGAACTGTGAGAAAATTAGTTTCTGGTGTTTAAGCCACCTGGTCTGTAGTACTTTGTTATGGCAGTCGTGGCAAACTAATACACATATATTCACTATTTCAGAAGAATTAACGCTTACTGTTTTCTTATTCCAATTCCTATTTAATCCTCTAATTAGTAATAGGGCAGTGATTAAGAGTATAATCTTAGAAGTTAGATAGCCCTGAATTTGAAGACTGGGTTATCCACCTAGGTGACTTTGAATGAACATTGCTCGTATATTTCAGAGTCTCAAATTTCCTTACCTATAAAATGAAACACCTGTCTCATAGAGTTATAATAAGGATCAAATTAAAAGAGATGTTTATAAATTTCATAGTATAGTATCTGATATATAGGTGCTTAGTAACTGGTAGAACTAATTATCTTTATGTACAAGATAAATGTATAGGGTGCCTGGGTGGCTCAGTTGGTTAAGCGACTGCCTTCGGCTCAGGTCATGATCCTGGAGTCCTAGGATCGAGTCCCACATTGGGCTCCCTGCTCGGCAGGGAGTCTGCTTCTTCCTCTGACCCTCCTCCCTCTCATGCTCTCTGTCTCTCATTCTCTCTCTCTAAAATAAATAAAATAAAATCTTTAAAAAAAAAAGATAAATGTATAAAACCATTTACATGTGTTTTGTCAATCTGGCTTAGTTTTCTCTAAGCTTAATCAGTTTAGCAAATCTTCTCTGTGTGAAGTGCCATACATATACATACTTTCGACAATTACTTAATTATCTTGAGGATGTGGAAAATCAGCTTCTATTAGCTTCATTGTTGGCTTGAATCCAAGATCACAAACCCTTAAAGTGAGTTGTAATATATATATTTTTTTGAGTTGTAATATATTTTTAACATATATTCTAAAAATCCTTCCAATGTATTAGATTTGTTTAAATGATTTGATGATTTTGCTCCAAGGACAAAGCTTGGACTATTTTTCTTTTGTGCAGTCTTCATACTTGCCATTTTAGGAAGATATTATGGTTTATCAGAAACTCCTCATAATGAATTATTCTAGTTTGTAGTAGAATAAACAAAGCTCTCCTTTATTATTATCTGGACCAATTCTAAAGTTCTCTACATCATTTTTTATGGCATATTTCATGGTCTGGTGTCATTCCCTTTATCATATGATTTATAGGATAACATCTTATTTCTCTTTAATTAATTAAGGATGGAATTTTCTTCCATAGCTACGTCATTGTGCTTCTCTCATCCCATAAAATTTTCAAGCTATAATTGTTTGTGATGTCTTCTCACATATATAATATACTTTTGCTCATTTCTATCCCTTGATCATAGTTTGTGAATTGGCATTACAATATCTTCTGTCCACAGTTTCCCACTCTATGAGATTGCAATTATGTTAAAATTTTACTTACTGTCATTTATTTAAATTAATATTTACTGGGCACTTAGTATGTACAAAGCACTGTGCTATTTACAAAGATATTTAAAATAATCCCAAAGATTCCACAATCTCAGCATTCTAATCATATTTTTTTAGGCTTCTAATATTTGTTAGTGCTATGAATTGTGTACGACTGTTGAATCACAGACCTGTACCTCTGAAACAAATAATACATTGCATGTTAAAAAAAAAAGAAGAAGATAGCGGGAAGGGAAAAATGAAGGGGGGGAATCGGAGGGGGAGATGAACCATGAGAGACTATAGACTCTGAGAAACAAACTGAGGGTTCTAGAAGGGAGGGGGTAGGGGGATGGGTTAGCCCAGTGATGGGTATTAAAGAGGGCACATACTGCATGGAGCCCTGGGTGTTATATGCAAACAATGAATCATGGAACAATACATCAAAAACTAATGATGTAATGTATGGTGATTAACATACCATAATAATAATAAAAAATAAATATTTATATATTTTGACTTGGCTTTTCTTTCACTTCCCATTCCTATTTGTTGTCCCATCTGAAGGAGTATCTACTCTGTCACCTCTTTTTAACTCAAGTAGGCCAATGAATTCCCTGTCGGCTCTTAAAGCAGAGTCTTTTGTCAATCTCTTTTGTGTCTTTTGTTCTCAGTTTCTCCCCAGTTTTTAGAATAAAACCACCACCTAGTTTGCTAAGATAGTACAGTGTTAGTGATGAGTGGTTTATGGGGTTTTCTTATAAACATTACATCTCCTTTTGCTGAATCAGGATATATTCTTCACTCTCATCAAAAGACCAAACCATCACTTGCTATAGGCTTATCTTCGTTTATTTTCAACTGTTTAAAGAGTTGTCAATAGACTTTCTGATGAAGGGATGGAGGCCATCTAAATCCATTATTTTAGACAATAATGCTACTTCTCAAAGAGTTAAAGAAAAAGAGAAGAGCAAACTCTTTAGCCTTAATAGGCACCTATGCTTGGAGGTGAAATGGGCCAGGAAGAAAAGAAGAAAAAAGTAGAAAAAGAGAGTAAAGACAAAGGTACATATTGTTAGGAATCCAATATAGAATTTGGAACCCTACCAAGATCTAGTTTTCATCAGACATGGCCTTTGTTTCCACCCTTATTTTTACCCCTCCCAAATAGGGTAGGATATAATTGGGTATCATCTCTTAAATCATTTACTAATAACCATTAACAAACCAACTGTTCAAAATCCTTTAAGTGCCTCTTATAGGTGAAACATTGTGTTAGGTGCTAAACAAGATAGAAGAAGTATATAATTCCATGCCTGCCTTCAAAAGTGTTATTGTCTAGCTGTGGCAATTAGGGGTCTTTGAAAGGTTTCAAAAAGAGCAAAATAGACATTAAGTACTGAAAAATTCAAAAGGAGAAGGTGAGCATTGATCTGAGGATCTGAAAAACTGGTGTCTAATCCATCTCTATTTCCTCGCTATGTGACCTTGGACAAATCATTTCTCTTTCAGGTCTTTCCTTTCATCCCATCCTCTTCCTCCACCAGAAAAAAAAAAAATGCCATCCTAGAAGATCTCTAAAATGTACGACTATATGAGATGATTACTAATGAGCTCTTTTGTGTTGCCCAGATTGAAGTCTAAAGGTAGCTATGGCCCCCTGAGCTGCTCTCTTCATTTTCACAGACAGAGGTATCAAGGTCTAAATTTTCCACAGTTCAGTATCAAGTCAGAGCTCAGAACCAAATTTTCCCATCCTGATGCTGTTATGTTTTCTAATCCTGCACCAAATAGTGCATCTTTCAAAATGATAATTGTGACTCGTAGAAAAAGCTTAAAATATATCACTGACACGGTTTACTTAGAGAAATGTTTCTTTAAAAAAATTGTTTATGTGAAAATGGGGGAAGGGGTAATTCTACGTATTAGAGGGAACAAGGTAAGCAATTGATTCCTTAGGATTTGAAAGGCTAAATATTCCAACAAAAGTCTACTGAAATACAATTCTCTCTGGCAGAGGTTAAGCAATTATGCAAGTGGCAGGACAGTGAGGGAAGCCCAATAGATGCACCTGGAGAGCGAGTAGAGGTGATAAACTGCAAAATCACCTGCCCCGTTCACATTATCGTCCTGGGTCAGACCTAGGGAAACCCTTCCAGCAGCCTCGGACTCAGGGCGCCCAAGTTTGCACGCTTCCACGCATTCTATTGATTCACACTTCCGTCCTTCAACAGGTAGCGCCAATTACAGCCCCCAAAACACGGCCCCCCATCATACTGGCCAATCTCGCCGTCAATCAAATACTACACCTACCTTTCTAAATTCTCCCCTCCCCCTTTCATTGCCTTTTTCTTCGGCCTATCCCCAAATTTCTTCCGCGCCTCGAGACCACGGAACTTGGCCCTATGGAGCCTAGGATTGGAGCCGAGGCTACTCCCGCCCTTTGACGTCCCGGAGCTCTCCGCCCCTTTCTCCGGCGCCGCGCGGCCCGAAGTGGAGGGGGCGGGGCGAACCAGGGGGCGGGGCTTGCAGCCCACGGCGGGAGGGCGGAGCCTTCCTTCGAGCCTGCCTGCCTGGTTAGGACCTCGGAGAGCGCCGGGTGCCACGACCAGAGGGACGCGAGAAGCGGCGGCAGTCGGGCGGGAGTGACGCCTGCGAGCCCGCCTCCCTCCGCACCTTCAGCTTCTCGGGTTGGCAGGCAGCTAGTGGCGGCCGAGGAAGGTGCCTAAGTCGGGAGTCAGATAGTCATCCCTCTGGGACGCCGCCGCCGCCGTCTAGCCGCGGCTCCGTCACACCTGTGTGTGTGTTCATGAGCGTGAGCGCCCGCGTGCCAATTTCTGTGTGAGGGTTGCGTGTGCTCCGGCTGGGCGCGCTAATGTCTGTGTGAGGGTGTTCGTGTGTGCTCGGTGCCTAGGCGCTCGGCCCGGGGAGACACCGCGGGAGCGGCGGCTCTGCGCGCCCAGCAGGCTGAGGCGGGACTCGGGCCGCAGCTGTCGCCGCCACTGCCTCACGTCCCCCAAGAGCCGCCGCGGTGCTGCGGGGAGAGCTGACGGGTGGGCGAGCGCGGCGGCGGCTGCGGGCAGAGCGGGTGGGGGGTGAGGGGGTGGGTGGAGGGTGGGAGAAGAGGGAGGAGGGCTGGAGACGCTGGGAGGGAAGGGGGGGCGGAGGGAGAAGCGGAGGCAGCCGGCGCCGCCGCTCGCCCCTCCCGTCGGCTGTTGCTGTTGGGTCACCCGCAGATGTTTTGGGGTCCGGCTGTTGGGGGGGGATGGAAAAAGGCCTACCCCTCATTACCTACTGAAAAAAAGGGAGCGTTGAAGATGATGGGGGGAGAGCCCAGAGGGTGGTAGTAGAGTAAATACCGGCTCTCCCACCGCACAACCCCAACATCGTTTTTCTGAAAATATTCTGAGCTGAACCTTTAGAAGGAAAGCCCGCCCTTAAGAGAGACAGAGTCTTGGTCTGTTGGACTCCGGTCTGATTGTATAATAATAATGATGATATAATGCTAATGACGATGATGACACTGCCTTTTATTTTTACCCCAGTGCTGATAAAGCGTAGCTACAGCTGGGGATAAAGCCCTTGAAAATTTGATGTATGAGGAGGAAATACTGTTGCTTTTAGAGTTATATTTTATTATTTCTTTTTAAAGGATGTTCCTTTTTGAACTAAAATTTGACAAAATGAAGTATGACTTTCTCTCTCTTTTTTTTAGTCATTTATAGCCAGTGCTCGTAAAATGAGGACTGGCTACTGCCTTGACTAATGAAAAGCTAAACACTTTTACCCGGGTATAAGTTCATGTGTTAAGTCACCCTTTCCTTTGAATTTCTCAACAGTTTTTAAAATGAAGAAGTTTAATTTCCGAAAAGTTTTGGATGGCTTAACTGCCTCCTCCCCTGGCAGTGGTAGCAGCAGTGGCAGTAACAGTGGTGGTGGGGCTGGAAGTGGTTCCGTACATCCAGGAGGGACTGCAGGGGTTCTCAAAGAGGAGATTCAGGAAACCCTGACTTCAGAGTATTTCCAGATTTGCAAGGTAAGTTCTGAATTGGCTTAAAGCCTATTATTTCTTTATTTTACTGTTGTGAGGAAAGAAGAATTAACAACAGCAACACCCACACTAGGGACTGGAAATTGATGAGATGCCAGCATTAGGCAGTCCTGGGCAGAGAACTCTATAGATAGATGTTTGAATTAATAAAGATATTCTGGGCATTGATTTCAACATCAATTTAAAAAGCTATGGTAGTTTAAAATGGAAGTAAACAACCGTAAAAGGTAGGATTTGCAAGACAATGTTAAGGTCCAAATTGTGGACAAAATTTTTAATGTAATATTTATGTATAAGTAGAAAACTGAAGGAAAAAATCATTCTGGTTAATTCCTTGTTGACATTCAGTGAAACTAAGTATTATTTTATGTCACTGTGCAGTATAAAATGATTAAACCTGTTAAGATGTTGCTACAAGTAAATAGATAATAGCTAAAGGAATACATCCATTTTAAAAGATCTAATGGTATTGTTTTACATTCATTGTTTAAAATTCTGTAGAGAAACACCCCCAGATTCTTAATAAAAAAATGCCATGGATTTAATTCTTGTAAGAACTTAAAAAATAGCCTGTTTTCTGGTTTAGTGAGGAAACATTTCAGGTAATTATGCTTTAATGTTCAACTTCTAATGAATAAGCAAAAGAAAGAGTTTCTGATGGGGAGAGGTGAGAATTTACAAAACAAATGTTTTGTTAATATATATTGTTATATTTTTCTGACATAGTTTATAATTTTTATTGTTTCTTTTTTGCGGGGTAGCCTAGGAAGGTGTTTTTGACCTACCATGTACAATTTAAAAAGCTACTAAGTCATTCATATGATACAGATGAATATAGTTTTAAAATATTTGAATACATAAGAACAAATCATAAATTTCTGAAATCACAGAAATTATTAAATTTTTTGGTACTTCAAAAGAATTGTTTTGAAATTATTAAAATTATTTTTGTAGTAAATAACTTCTATATAATAAGATAAGTTTCAATTATTGTCTTAGTCTCCATTCCCAGTAAGGTCATTATAAAACATTAAATCTGTTTATGCGAAAGTGAGTTTATTTAGAATTAGGTCAGATTAAAAGATATAATTCTACCCCTGTGAGTTTTGTATGCATAAAATTTTGTATACAAAGTTGTATATAATTTCATTCTCAATTTGAAATAATAGATATTTTGTCAGATTAGGGGCTTAATATTGGTCATGAGACAAATATGTAAAAGGATCTTAGGGATCAAATTTGAACTGCTAGTCAGGGGAATAATGCCCTGATTATCTAATCTTTGACATATTACTGTTTCCATTCCAAGATTCTGAAAAAATTTCCAAATTCTCTTAGTTCATGAATGTGAGGCAGGAGAGTTTTTGTCAAGATAAAATTGATATAAAAAAGACCTCTGAAACAGAGTGGCATTGGACTGTTGAGGTTTTGAACCTGGTAGAGAAGGTTTTAAATTAAAAATTTCAGGGGAAATGGGTGAATGCAAGAGAGGAAAATGGGATATATAGTTATCTTCCCATTTATTCAGACAGGAAATAGACATGAAAAGTGCCAGAAGTTAAATATGTATTAATTCAAAAACATATGGCATGGTAGGAAGAACACTGGCCTAGGAATCAGATTGTATTTTATTTAAAGTTCTGTCACTTGCCAGCCATGTATCTCGGGCAAGCCTTTTATCTGCCTTGAACCTTGATTTTCCCATCTGTAGTATGGTAATAAATATTTCTGCTCTTCTGACTTAAAGTTATTGGGAAGATCAAACAAGACAATTAGGTGAAGGCGATGTATAAATTGGAAAAGGCAATAAATTGTTTATTTTTATATTGTTCCTAAAGTTTTAAAAATCACCTTGTTCTTGGTGGAACGACTACAAGCAGTGGGCTATAATAATATAGGTAACAAAATTATACTTTCAAAGAAATTAGAAGGATAGATAGCTATATAAGTGGAACACTAATAGTATTGAACTGTTACTAAATGGAGAAAGTATTATGGCATCTTTGGATAGCAATATAGTTAATTTTAAAAAGTAATTTTATGATTGTACTTTAGGTTACCTGGACTATAATAAAATATATAAAAATGGATTAAGGATGTTTCAAAATTAGAACTGTTACTAAAATGGGGACTTCATTTGGACTCACTGATTAAATGTGCAAAGAACATTCTATTCTGAGTACTAAGCAGTTGGCACCTTTTGGGTACTTGTACCTTTTCCACATGGCCAAAATTAAAGTACAAATCTGTAATCTTCTCTTTTGAAAACCATCCTCCTCTTTATTTTCTGGTCAGTCATCAAATCCTATCTATTCCATTTCCTTAGTATTTCTGAAATTTATTCCCTTTTTGCCATCTCTAGTACCTGTTCATTCTATCGTATTTTCTTGATTAGTCACTTGAATCACTTCCTACCTGATCTTCTTAACTCTTGTTTTACCCTATTTCAGTTGATTTTGTTATGTTATAATAATGGTTATTTCTGAACTATAATGTTCATTATGTCATTTCCCTGCTAAAAATTCTATGTTGGTTTCCCTAGAGCAGTGATGCTCTATAAACAAAAGTCTAATGTGAAACCCTGTAAATAACATCTATTAAAACAAATAAATGTACTTTATTGGCATACATTTAAAAAATAAATTATAATAAGTTATACAGCTATTATAAAAAGCTTGTTTTTTAATATTTGTTTTTTGTTGTACAATATTATCCCTGGCAGGTAGTAGTACTTTTTCTGGCCTTAAAAAGGTAAAAGTATAAAGCTACAACCTTTATAATCAGTGACAAATGTATAAGAAGTTCAAAAACACAGAAATGGTAGAAGAAACTTTGGTTCAAGGTTAGCAAAAAAGTTACTACATTGGTTTACTGCAATCTCAGTTCAGTATGTATACATTTGAATGCCCATTTGTTCAGATATTTGTGAAATACAAGAAGTGCCTTTTCTGAACTTGAATTCTATGAAACACAATTTGAAACTACTGCTCTATACAATAAATGTCAAACTGCTTAACTTGATCTATATATAGTTCCCTTTAGATGGGATTCCTGTTTACCTTTCCATCCTCATTTCTGTGATTTCCTAAGCATATTGCATTACCTGATAGCACTATATTTTCATATCTCAATGCCTTTTCTTAATCGGTTGCTTCTAATGACAATATCCTTTCCAGCTTTAGTAAAGTTGAATTCCCAGTTACTTTTTTTTTTTAAAGATTTATTTAGTTATTTGAGAGAGAGAGGGCAAACAGGGTGGGGGTCGGGGAGGTAGCGGGAGAGGGAGAGAAACCTCAAGCAGATTCCCTGCTGAATGGAGCCCAAGGAGGGGCTCGATCCCAGGACCCTGAGACCATGACCTGAGCTGAAATCAAGAGTTGGACGCCTAACTGACTATGCTACCCAGGTGCCCCCCTCCAATTACTTTTTATCTCATAGTAAAATACTACTTCCATGAAACCAACTCTGACCACTGCCTCCTCTTTTCCCGCCCAAAGCAGAGTCAGTTTTTTTCCCTTCTTCTGTTTTCCTATAGCACCTGGCATATTCCTATAGAGTTAAGTTAGCACCTTATTGTGATTAGAAAATTTATTTTTCTGTCACTATTGTTATGTTGTCATCAATGAAACAATATATACATGGTTGATTAATTGAAATGAGATTAAAGCAGAAAGTTATTAATAAATATATAGGTCTTAAACATTTTATTTTAATGAAAACATGTAAATATACATCAATTTACAAATCACTTGTTAAATGAACAAGATTTTTTTTGTTGAGCATTGGTTCTATAACTGGAGTTCTGTGTGTACTTTTCTTCCACAAACCATCCCAAGTTCGTTATGGATAGTTTTTTGGTTTTAATTTATTTAAAGTAGAATAAGAACTTATATGCTTTTGAAGCAGGTGTCAGGTCCTTCTAGATGATATGTAAATATCATCTGACACTTAGTTTATACATATGATGAATATATAGTTGACCCTTGAACAAGGTGGGGTTAGGGGTACAGACCCCCACATGATCAAATATCTCTATATATTCGACTCCCCAAAAGCTTAACTCCCTGAAAAGTTTGACTCCTCCAAAACTTAACTATAAATAATCTACTGTTGACTGGAAGTCTTACTGATAACATAAATAGCGGATTAACACATAGTTCATATTTTATATATATTAAATACTGTATTCTTACAATAAAGTAAGCTAGAGAAAAGAAAATGTTATTAAGAAAATCATAAGAAGAAATACATTTATAGTACTATACTATATTTATTGAAAAAAATTCCAAGCATCAGTGGACCCATGCAGTTCATATCCATGTTCAAGTGTCAACTACATATATATATATAGTATAGATATATACACACATATATATAAAAAGTATAGATGTAGGTACATATTTATACTTATCTATACACAAGATATATGTGTGTGTGTGTATATATACATATATAGAAAATCTAGATAAATAGATATATATTCATCCCTATAGTTAACTGACCTACACCTAATTAGGCCAGAGTAGGAGAGTATAAGTATTCTAGTTAGAGTTTACTAGTATCTAGTATTCAGGGAGTCATTAATATCAATCTATGTTTTACAAAGAGAATGGGAAGTTTTTGTTAATCTAACGAGGTGGTTAATTTAAAGTTAGAGACTGTCATCTGTAAGATCTCCCATTTGGCCTTCATAACAGTCCTGTAAAGAAGGCAAAGAAAGTGTAAATATTTTTATTTTACTAATAAGACATCTGAGGCCAGAGAATTTAAGTGGTATCCTTAGGTCTCCAAGTTGGTAGGAGGCATAGCTAAGTTTAATGCTTTGTTCTTCCATTATTAAATCCAGTATTTTTTCTGTTTTATATTTCTTACTTATTAAAAAAAAAGCTTGAGGATTCTCTCTCTCCCTTTGCCCCTTCCCCTACTCACACACTCTCTCTCTCTGTCTGTCTCTCTGTAAAATAAATAAATAAATCTTAAAAAAA